CTGAGGATGTAAGAAGAATACCGGTAATCCAACTTCCTGAATGCGACGATAGTTGACTGTATTTCTACATCACGCCAATGCACACTTTTCACGTTTCGCTCTCTGAAATTATCATTGCTGGTCGATCTATTTTCATTAAAACGATGCAAAACATCAAAATTCTGTTCAGCCATTTAAGGGTGTATACTCCAGGTAATCTGAGAATGGAATACCTTCTGGCGGTTATTTTATGCATACTGCTAAATAAAGTTGGTTGCAATTCAGCTAATTATAAAAGTTCCCAAGAATCCCAAGCTCAAAATTCGTTAAAATGAAGTTGAATCGTTCATCTGAAAATCACTTAAATTTCCCTCTCGAACGCATCACACACAACTATTTGCCACCCTCTCTTTGGACAAATTTGAAGAGTGTCTTTGTGGAACCTGTTACGCATGGAAGGGTTTCGCCAACACCACAGTGGAACGCTTGAGTTGTACAAATAACGTTCGGATCCATCCAATCTTCTTCATCACGTGACCAATGCAAAACTAGTTACGGTAGGTAAACGTTTGTGTGTATGCAAGTAAGAAGCAATCCCTTGAATACCCTATCGATTGCAAACATGTCGACTTGAAATATTCCGTTATGTGTTGCGGACAATCCCGTGGATTACGTATGACCCGTTGATAACTATTTGTCAAAATTTAATGCGTTTCAATGTTCTGAGTTTACAAAATGCATAAAATCTATGGGGTATGATAATCAGGAATCGGTCCAGTTGGTCTATTTCACGGAACAAAATTAGTACAATTTTAATTCCATTTGATGCAGCGCAGTAGTGCGACAATTTATCCATTTATATAACTGGCAACGAACGGCTATTTTGTTCCCCGCTTCAGACACACCAAACTTGACGTCGGCGGGTCATGTCGCAACTATAATCCCGCGAATCGAAAATCCAACGTCCAAATCCAACGGAGAAACGTTGCAAAACTCGAGAAGTTTTGATTCGGACAAACAAACAGTGAACGATCGGCAGAAGCGTAACCAGCGTGACAGAAACACTTACCATGCACCTGTTGACACAGTTAACACACCCGCAATGAAATTTGTCAAATTTGAGACTGGAGAAACAATTCGATTAAAATGTCACATTCCCAATGGTCCATATCTGGTACGTTTCCATTTGTTTTTTTTTCCTTGCGATTTTCATTGAAGCTCACTATGAAGTTGAACCGATATTGGAGAGCTGTACAGTGTACTATTATTGAGTTACTGCATGAAATAAGCTTTGATTCCGATTGACTGACCTTGGATGCTGCATTTGGCTTATTCAAAAAAACCTGTGCTGGTCTGTTTTATCCGTAGCTTCCCCTCGAACTGCGATTGGCTGTATTTTATTTCATCCTAACTGAATATACATTCGGCCTAATTTTACACATGTCTATTCTGTCATGATGTTCCTGATGCACTGAGGAAAGTGAAGAATATTATAGATAAGCAGAACTTTCGGACCACCGAAAAACACTATTTTATTTCGACTGCGAGTATCGATTTATTTTGTGGAAATAAGTGACTTTCCCGAAACCTCTTCCCCTGAAACCCTAACGTTTTGAGTCTCAGGCAGGGGAACGTTAACGATGTTACCCCATACCACAGCCAACATTCGTTTATTGGGATCCACTTTCATGCATTTCGGTATCACACGTTTTCTAATTTCGAGCTTGGATTTTAAAACCACTGCATCGTTTCTCCTAACACTTCAACTAGAACTAATTCAGATCAGGATGCGGGAAAATTAAAAATAAAATTTTAATAAAAACTAAAATTCGGAATAAGTGCTATTTACACATAGGCATCGACTCGCAAGTGTGATGTTGAAAACTGAAGTCAACCAAAGTGTAAAAACTACCACTATTGATTTGTCGATGCATAGCCTCCCATGTTTGTGCTCCACGAACAACAAATTCTGCACTTCGAACAAATCCGGAAAGTGTTGTAACTTGTGGAAAATCAATACCATTGGGTAAAACAATTACAAAAGTCAGTCGATGGAGTCAAAGTAAACCACAGTTCATCCTCTTCAATGACGCAATTTGGTTGGAGTATTTGCTTTTAGATAAGAATAGTCGAAACCATGACCAGATAAGGATAGAATAGTTCAATGCATCAGCCAAGTTGTGGAAAAAATAGGTTTCGATGCCGATTGTTCATTACTTTAACTGTAGTTACAGTGGAATACCTTCACGATGCACACATATTGGGCTCTTATTGTGAGTTAATGTGAAATAAACTTTCCACCGGCCAACGCGGCTGGGTGGGAGAACTAGCGGAACGAGCAAGGAGCTTGTGACAAGGGAGAACAATGACTCCGATAGAGGCCAGGCACATACTGGGAAATAGCTGCCGAGCAAAGGCCAATCAAAGCCCTCATCCTGCATCGGCAGGAGGATAGTCAGACTGAGATAGTCAGACTGCTTGCATGTGCTTGCACACCTATACGTCAACCGAATCCACATATTTCTGGCAAGCCGCTCCGGTTTTGACGTGTGCGTAAAACATTTTCCGAATATTTGGGACAATCGCTTCGGTAATCAACGATGCACGTATATTCGTATGCCAAATAAGGTCGAATACAAACTACACTAGTGCACAAAATTGAAAAATATTTCATAGGGACACCCGCATCGTCAAACGCTGCACACTGATCTACTGCCCAAAGTCGCAACATTGTCAGGAGCTGCTTTTACAGCAGCTGTGAACGAATGGCTGTCATGGTTTGCAGAGGCTCTCAGACGACATGTGTTGAAAGTACTTGTTTTTAAAAAGCAAGCCAAGACCAAAGCAAATTATACAGATTTAACCGATATGATTCGCTGTGATTCTTGAAGCAAGTTGTCCTGCACCTCTTCTGCACGTTTGGTATTCAAACATTATTTTGTAAACATGCGATACAAAAATTTGTGATGACTGACAAAGAGCACTGAAAGAGCCCTTTGGTCATCTGTTTGGGACTTACCAGGAGTTCGCACTTTTTGTATCCCCTGTCCCTGCCAAGCTGGCAGTTCAAACCCTACATAGTCTATGGTCATCGCCTTGTGCGAATGGTTTGACCAATCACGACGATCTACCTCAGGGGTAGGGGTTTGAAATTCGGACCCGAATGTTCGCGGTTTGAGTTTTGGCAGAGAAACAAAAGGTACGCATAGATGACGAGTCCCATTCAGGACGAAACAGCTGTCCTGTGCTCTTTGTCAGTTATCACAAACATTTCCATCCCATGTAAATTGAAAGGATTATTTCAAATTTACAACTCTCAAAATTAAAACTCTCTTCCGGTTCACGTCTATCCAAAATGATATAATTAACGAATATAGATCATAATTTCCAACATTTTGTCGGCTGATGAATCGGTCAACTGAGAAATACCTCAAACAACATTGAAGGATAATTTGTAGTCCGTTATTCGTTATTGTTCTTGCCTGAACCGGACCAAAAATTAGAGGAACACTTTTTTTAAAACAATAAATATAAAGCCACATAATAATCAAAAATTTAGCAAAATCGGGACTTAACGCGAGACTCAGTCAAAATAATACATTCCTCCTCCGGGGTGGATTTAAAAGCCTGATGATCTGCAAGCGACAGAATCTGATGGTCTCACCTAACCTGTGAAGAGCCTCAGCTGAGTTGAGTATTATGGGAGATACTGACAAACGGTTGTTTTTCTTTTACCGTAAAGTTAGCAAAAATGGATGGATTTACTTTTCATAGAAAATGAGAAGTGTTACAAATGATCCTTGTTTTTTGTGCTGCTACGGATGTGAAAATTTTAGGCTTGTCAAATTTTCACCCAGTTTTTGCTTATAGAATCTATTTATTTGTGGAATCAGAAACAACATATAGTGATAGACAATTCTAAATACTGCACACTTCGAGGGCAACTGAATGAATGAATGACACAGGAATTCTAGCAGACATTTTCGGAGCACAAATTTGAATGAGTACATCCTCAGGTGAGCGTTGGCCGACGAGGCGAACGGTGAACGACATGGGTGATCGGGGTCCTGCATTATCTGATACATCAAAACCAAGTACCCTCGAATTCGGCGCCAATGTGTGGATCACCGCCTCAGGGATTCTAGTCTTTTCACAAAAGTCTTGGAATTCAGTCCCTTGGCTATTTTGGTGGTCATTCTTTGTGGACGATTCAGCATCTGACGATCGCGTCGCAGCCATGAATTGTATACTCCGTGTGGGGTCGAACGTAGGACCGATAAAAACCGTGGTAACAGCGTAGGTTCAAATTAACCAAACCTTAGCAACCTTTGGCAAACCTTACAGCGGAGGGTAACACCCTAGAGCAGTTTAAGGAACAACTTAGGTCTTCTTGAACAATCACACCGAGAGCTTTGTTATTCGAGACATACGGAAGTTTTTGATCTCCCAGAAATTACGGAAACCGAGTTTTGTGGCGAAAGGACACGACCATACATTTCGATGCATTGTATTTGATGTCGTTTCCGGTCCATTATTGACAAGCAGCGTTAAGTGTTCTCTGAAGTGCGAGGAAATCCTCGGGTTTTGTAACTGTTTCCATATTTTTTCATCGTCCACAAACATCAAGGTTTGTGGCCCCGAAATTTCCGCTAGGTCGTTTGTGGAACAAGAAAAAGTTGGGGGCCAAGCACGGATCCATGTGGAACTCCTCCGGATAAAATCACAAGGTAACCTAAAACTACCATGGTGCATTGTCGAAGAAATTCTTCGATCCAACCCAGCACAAATTCCAGAATTACATAATTGTGTAGTTTCCTCGGCAGTTTTTGGGTTCACTTGGTCGAATGCTTTGGCGAAGTCGAGACACATGTCTTTCACTGCTTTGCCGTGATCAGCTGCTTTTGTCCGCTGTTCTTGGGCCAGAATCAAGTTAGCGGTACACGATTGCCTGCGACGAAGCCCATGTTGAGCAGGGCGAACGTCGAAGTAAAAATCCCTCATAAATCTTGAGAACCACTTTTGGTTCTTTTCAATGCAAATAAACACTGAATTTTTTCATGACCAATCAGGGCAATGAAACTAACCAGATTGCTCAGTCACCTGTGTCAGCATTTTCAAGTTAAGATCTATTTGTTCCGTTCGAGCAACGACACCCATGGTCACAAAAACGGTCGTAACTAAACCATTTTCATCAGCTGGGTAGAAACGCACAGGTGAAAGAGCGGTCAGAAAAATCATTCTTATTCAAATGTCGAAACCACTGGTCTATNTCAAATGTCGAAACCACTGGTCTATGACATCGAAATGGTCACTGGGCAGTGTGCACCGCGGCGATGAGCAGCACGGAAAACAATGATGTGGAAACAGGCGAGCAATGTTACCATTATAATTTCGTAAAGGTTAAGCCGTATAGGTTAACTGTATAGAAATATGTGATGTGTGTCTGGATAGCCATGATGGTAATCGTCAACCAATCGAAACAATGCCCCCATTCCCAATTGGTTCATCACCGATAAGTAGCGTTCTCTTTTTCAAATGATATATACTAAAAGCAAACTTGTCAATATAGGAAGAAATGCATACAAAAAACTCACAAGTAACTGGACCATATATATGACTGTAAATAATTAGTCTCGAAATGAGAAATGTGAAGACACCAAAACAAAGCTCATGGGAGCAGCTTTTTTAGATCATAGTTCATTCCAAAAATAAGAATCGTCCTTTGCAAAGCGTAGCACAACACATTTTCCAGTGGTGACGTCATTAATTATCATCGCGGAGGACGTGTGTTTGAATCCCATTGCTACCGCCTGACTTTCCCCGTTACGTGTGTATTGTATGACAGCCCAATGAATGGCTGCCTACGCCATGCTGAAAATTGTATCTTAGTATACTCAATAAAATGAAGTAAAAGTGATAATGAAAAAATATAATCAACAATTGTAGTCCATTGCATGATCGCAGAAAGCATACAGTTGTTGTTTTTTGAGAAAGCTTTCGTTAACATCATCGTTTAAGCAAGTAACTGATGTAAATTACTGAGAATATATACTAGTACATACAAAAGGTCTAGTCCACTATGAAAGTTACTCAATAATAACCCAAAACAAAAACACATGTCACGACTATCATGAATTGTTATTTTTTTCTGATAAAAGATCATGAGATCGTTCCCTATCAATGGTTACGATTATCCGATAATTTGTGTAAGAACGACAAATTGATAACTCATTAGTGATCATTTTTGACACATCAGGATCAAATGATGTTAGGAGTGTATCGAAAAATCGATGCGCCATGTGTTTTTTATTCAGAATGTTATAAAGTTATCAACACAGTTATGTCTTTAGAGTATGATATTTGCCGATGTTTCGGTTACCTGGGTAACCTTTCTCAAGGCAGGTTTTATAATCAACAAGAAGAAAAAATATAATTCTCTACCGCCATCTCTGTGTTATTAACATTATATCATTCACAACAAATTGATCACTATATTTTAGTTAGGATCGCTAAACAAAAACTGTGTGGATTTAGTGAGTGGAAACAATAGAAAATTTCGAACGCATTGTAAAACTGTAGTTTGAACATTCGTCTGTCAAATTAGTTTAATTGAAACGTTTTTGAACGATATGAATGAATGCTTGGGGTCTGATTAATTTATCTCTCTCTCTGACTAAATATTCCCCAAATATTTTATCTGTACTACCCGTCCTCGTTGTTTGGTGATTGTATTTTTTACAAATAAACGCAAAACTTCAGGTTATGTGGAACAAAATCGGTTTGGACTATCCACTGAGCATTGGAACCAGACGTTTTGTACCGGACAATCGGGTTCACGTGCGATTCAGGCCCCCGGACAAATGGCGCCTGACAATCAACAATGCCAAACTGTCTGATAGTGGAGTGTATACCTGCACGACCAGTGAACGAAAAGCGGAACAGGTCTCGTCGGATGAGCAAGCTGATGTGGGTCCCAGAGGTGGTGCTTCCGTGACAAGCAATACACTTTCAACTCCCGGAAAGGAAATCCAGTCAGAACTGGATCGAGGAGACGAGCAAGATGGGAATAAAGAACCAGTCAACAGTGATTATTACGTAACCGTAGGTGGGTCTACTCGGCTCCTAATGATCACTGTATTGGTACCAAACAAATGCCCTTGTTGATATTCTGTTTTTGGTTTGATAGGCGTACAATAAAAACCGCATTCCCGTTCTCAGGTTAAAACTATATTTTCAGATGCGACACACAGTAATGGTCTCAGTTTAGATAATGGTTGCCTGAGGAACGATCAATCCCAACTCTAGTCTGACTTCAGTGGTGCGTAAACCAAACGTTTCACAAATATGTTCCCATGGTTAATTGATGCTCGTATGTTTTCTATCCGCTATTGGCCTACACCTAAAGCATTAAGATTAGACTTCATGCATTAGGCTTGCGCTTTACCTAATGGTTTGCGGGTTTGGTCCCCAAATTGGAGTAGGAGGCATTCACACTGCGGATCAGGCCAAAACAGAGGAAAACAGCTGACCAGTGCTTCCTAGTTATGCAGTTCATGCTTTATTGGCTCTTGGCAAGACAAAGTTCACTATGATTATAATCAATCCAAATATTCCATTACCCTTCGAAAATGTTATCCGTTACGATAGTCGGTACGAGTTGTGAGTATTTCCATATGAGAGAAAATTTAACAGTGATTTCGCCACCCAATTCAGATCGTTGTTTTAATGAGTTCACAAAAGAGTTTTTAACAATATTCACGACGCTAATGATGCTAAAGCAATTTTTGGGGTTGTCAATGTTTTCACTTTGTTGGTAGTTAGTTGTTTGTGAGGTAAAACATTGAACTCGCGAATGATTGATTGCTAACGATGAATATGTATGCCGTATATATTTTATTCCGTTTAAACTGCAGTACAGAAAACGATCATATTACAAAATATTCAATAGAATCATAAGTGGCTTGTGTATTCAATTCTCTGCAAACGGCATTCTGAACTTTAGTTGATTAGTAAATTATTGAGCAATACAGGTTCTAGTAATTGCTCTATCGACTGGAGAAAAGTAATACATCCAGAGGATTATTTGGTCATTTAAGAACTGATCAATAAGACCCACCGAGGGTCATTCACCAATGAAATAGAGTTCGACGCTTAAGAACACAAAGTTATTTCCATGCGGAAAAGGACTCGTTTATTTTGTCTTCTGATGAACTTTTCACTAGAACATGCCACTGATGAGAGGCATTTAGGATTTCTGGTGCAGGAGGATGTAGAATGTCCCACACACTGTACCAAAGTATCATCGATGGCTTTAAACTATGCTGGATCAATTAAACGCGCTTTCGGGCAGTTTGAAGTAGCACTGCTTCGACGCTAGCTATCAGCGTTTACTCCGCTACAGACGGAGCACGCTGTTCAAGTATCGAAGTCATAGTTGAACCGCAGAAAGAAGGCTCTAGAACGTGCACAAAGGTAGGAAATAACATGTCTGGAGAACCATGCATATTCTGAAAGACTATAAATATTGGGGCTCTACTCGTCTCAGTACTGTCGGCATCGGAGGGACCTAAACGTGATAATCCACGTACTGCATCAAACCAACCACCCTTGCTTAAAGTTCTGTGGTAAATTTATCTTAAATTAACCATCTCATTGGATATCGATTGAAGTTGGGGACCAAAAGCAGTGACCCAGATGGCTGGCATCAGTCGTTTGCAGTTAGAGTGAGCGGCGTATGGAATTCGCTTCCGTTTCACATTCTGTGTGCTCCGACTGTTTCATTGTTCATGAAATCGCAACTTCAGAAGGCATCGGAATAATTAATACTTGAACATCTGTGATTGATCACGTATATTATTACTGTTATTATGTTCGAATTGTGATTTGTCTGAAAAGTTGTGTAAAATCCCTATGAGACATCGTAACTGTTAGTTTCATTCAATCACCCATAACACAACTTTGAACTTTAAACTTTGATGACCACTCCTGTTCGAAGGATCGGTAGTCCTACCTATCTCGGTCCCGTAACTTTCTAACGTATCCGCATCAGCCACTTTACACAAGCTCACAGTTCAACTAATTTAGTGAGACATTCAAGATTCAGTGAAACGACAGGAGTGCATACTCAAAAGCAATGAGCATTCTCTGTTGGTAGTGACGAATCTGGTTGGAAATGCTGCAGATATGGAGTTCGAGAGCGATATAAACAAGTTGAATTGCGGTCTAAATTATGCCACACACTGAAAATCACATCAAGCCTGCATTCTTCTCTATTGGAGCACAGTAATTAGAACATCTTTTGAAATTCCGTACTGTTAGCTCACAAATGAGCTTATATGATAGGGAATTCCGTATAGCTGAAGAAAACGATAGTCCTCCAGTTATGGGAGTAGTGACTGACCAGACCAACGACACATGCGTGAAAGGGGTCGGATTTTGTTATAAAATCGAACATTGCATCCATTCAAAATGCGATATTTCGTAACCAACCCTCAGCAAAGTTGTGTAATTTGCTCTTTTTTCCAGAAAGATAAATTAATCCACATCATTCTAGAACGCATAGGANTCATTCTAGAACGCATAGGATTTCTTTGTTTCACTGATCCATGCCATTCAGAAAAACGAGCAGATCGAGGATCGGTTTGGTTAAATTCCGAACGATTTATGAGAAAAACCTGATATTTTTTATCTTTCTCATGAAGTGTGAGCCATCCAGTCAAAGGTGCAACTATTTTCAAAAAACAATATTAGGTTAACTCAGAAAACGGTACGGCAGTGTTTGTGTAATGATAAAATTCTGTTCTTCGGTCCAGGGAGTGAAAATCTGAGGCTAAAAGTTTTCCTTTGGAAGTATAAAGTGGATCAGACCGTCTGGACATCTTATCAGCAACGTTTTCAATATAAGACACTTTCCACTGTGGTGCATTTACTTCGCAACATCAATACAAACGTCAATTAGTAGTGTTACACATTTAGGCGTGCGCTACACCTGCAAAGACGGATTTGAGTCCGATGCTTCTTACGTTGGCTTTTGTTATACATTTTAAAAGTATAATTACTTTAAGTATCAGTGGTCAATCACAAAACTACTTCTCATACTGAGCTCTTCTTCTCTGCGTTGTTTGTTTTTCTGTACCCCTCCTTACTAAGGGAAAATAATACCGCCGTTTACAGATGAATTTTCCAAACTTTGGATAACACAAGAAATGTTACAAACAATAATGTCAGTATGCGCTACACCGTTGAATAAAACAATCTGCTACCCGTTCTGTGCAAAGTTGATCTCACTCTATCCGTCTCCGAGTACCGTCTCACGTAATAATTTAATAATTTTAACGGTTTAAAAAACCGTCATTCCGTTTTGTCTCAAGTCTGTTTCAGACAGCTTATTAGTTTTCACACTCTAACCTATCCATCACTGACAATGNCTGACAATGTTTGAAAGCAATGCCACACCAATTCCTCTACGACAAACGAGGTTAGAACAAGCAGTCCCACGTTACCTCAAGAATGCAACTTACATCATTTGTCTTAGTCTTCATCACACTTTTACAAAGCAAAATCATCCATCACTTTCAACTTTTCACGCAGTTTGTTACCTATCTTTCCTCAATATACGTGGTGATTTCTGATCCCAAACGCTTTTTAATTTGCACTTATGATAAGCTTGTCCGTGTCGAACACGTGAACGGAAAATCCCATGTGTAAGCCTGTATGCACTATTGATTTCGAAAGGAATATACCTAAATGTGAATGGGCGAATGGCAAAACACATTCCGCTTTTGGCGTGAAACAACGACTAAGCAACAGATATACCCACAATACATTCACGATACAAGAGTACCTGAAATCAGAATGTACCTCGAAAGGTAAATTGAGCAAAATTCTTGAAGCTGGTCTCTTTGGTTAATGCTTCTATGCTATCAGAATTTGATGTAACATTTCTTACATTTGATCTGAATCGTCCGGGTATCGGTACTTTACAGTTTCACAACAGAGGTATGAAAGTAATATCCAGCAGAAGGAACTAAACAGTATATACTAATCACAATTAAAAATGTGAAAACAATGCGCGAAATGAGTGTGATTTTATCAGAAGGGCTAAACAGTTGTTCCACGGAAACAAACATGAAAAAGAGGATCTACTAATAATCTACCGTCCAGCAACCTGGCAAGAGGGGATGAAAGTGCATGTTCTATCGTACAAAGGAGGTACCAACGTGTTATGCAGATGAACGGGACATGGTGATAGAAATTCCATCAAAACAATCGTCCAAATCCCAATAGAGTCATCCTCAAGTGATTGATCCGTGTCCGATATTCAGAGTAGGCGTATTATTTTTTGGAAGTGTGTAGCGCACGAGATTGTGATAACACCGAAACTTGCGCAGAGTAATATGTTCGACTCAGTTCGAATAGCCTAATCCCCGGCATCAAACTGAATCGCAGAGATTGATCACTGCGCCTGATGTGCAAGATACGGTTGAGGAAGATGCCGGCAATCTGTCGCGTGATATCTGGGCAAATCAGATATTCTGTTATTTCTGTCTTCCGCACTTGAGTGCTCTGTGTTCCCTGTGGACACAAAGCTCAAGATGTGCTTGGGAATATCATTTTAATCGTGCATTTTGAAACTGAAAACACCAATTTTCCTTCACAAGTTTGAATAGCAACATGGGTTTGCATAATGTATCCACGGTCATTTCGCTGCATGCGTACACGTGCAAACTGCAGTCAAAGGGAATTTTTATATTAAATGGGCTAATTACTGTAGGCTGAAGACAAGATCGTCAATCACAACGCCCAACACGACACAGCGACACAAACAAATGGAGAATGAAGGGGTTAATGACCAAAGGAAGACTAATGTGACAAACCATTCACGTTGTTTGCATAGATAAGGTTTAAGAGTATGAATGGCTCAAGCCTCGGCAAATTTAAGTAACTTTTTGTGTTTGTTGTATTGTAGATGATCTGAAATGCCTGGGTTGGGGTGACACAATTCTATTGTTCGAATACGTGTTACGTTTTCGAAGATCCAAGTCTCTTTGGATGGCATAACGGTTTGTCGTTCATCGCTTTATGAAACCATACCGGGATGTGCTCGGCCATTCGGTGACGTGGCTGCCTCTCTGCCCTGCCCATGTAGATGGTTGAGCATCCGCACTTGACTTGGTAAATACAGTTTGATTTGACGCCGGTGGGGAGGGGGGGGCAATGGTTCCTTCATCAATATCGACGGTATCCGAGTGGTGATTACCTCATTGACTATAAAAATCATTTTGATTGCGTATGCACGTGTACAGATTCGGCGAAATCACCATGGCTACATTGTGCAAACCCATGTTTCTGAATTCTCTATTTTTATTCTCGGTTGGCGGTTGTTAGGATTAGTTCAGACTCACAGTGCAAAGACAGTCAAATATCTCACACGTGATCGAGATCGAGCATTGGCAGTGCCTAAGGGCCTGTTGAGTTGACACTGGGCAAACGCACACCTCACGAAATGAGGCAATCATCGACTTGGAACGTGTTTAATGTCACCCATTACCAAAAAAGCTATCACCTCTCGTTTTGTTTGATCTCCGAGCAAGTGTAATTTGCGGAACGTGAATTGAAACAAAATTAAACTAAACACCGTGTCCAAAACAGAGCTTTACAGGTGGTTCTCCCCACAAAGTACCGGACAGCAGTTTAAACTTCCAAGAAATTAGGCGGTTCGATCATTTATACTTATTATTGATCAAACTGGTTCAACACCCTGACTTTTATCAACGTTTTTCCTCTCAACGCTTAGTGTTTTTAGCCAATTTAATGATATATGTTAATACCCCATATCGTACACCAAATGGTTGTAATTATATCCAATTTCGTCCCCTCTTATATCAGTCTAATGAGAATGAAACCTATGATTTCTTAGGTTCGGTGACGGATGGTGTTGCCTCACTTGTGAAATAACAAAGCCTCAGTGAGGAAAAAGAATTGGGTGTTTATTTGCATGAAAATAACTCATTGGCAAAGTGTATTTATTTCACTTTCATTTTTTTCTATTGTTCTATTTATTGTTGTTCTATTCAGTGCCGAGTACTGAGGGCAATCATATGTTTGTTTCTTTGTTCTCCGGAGTCCATCAAGTTCACTGCCAATTCCCCATTCCTCTTATGTCACACCCTGGCCACTGACGGTCAGTGTGGACGTAGCTAATTTAAATCATTGTTTCCTTCACAGAAAAACTTTTTCTTTTACACTTACACATCTGCAACCGCTGCGAGGTTACCGAATGAATTCGACCACGGAGTTAACGCCTACAAAAATTGCATAAATATGAAAAAATACTTATGGAGGTCGAAACATCTTTCACTAGCAACTTCGAATGGGAAGATTTATGACAACCTCTAACTGAGGAAATATGACTTCCGTCTATACACTTCAAGAAAGACAATTATTGAAAATGTGTACCATCAGTGTTGTAACAAATTCCGCCATATCCAGTGTGCCATGCACACGAAACTATTAACAAGGCTTCCCTTCTAACTCATTAGCTAGAATGAATACTTACCTCTTTTGATAAATAAAATGAAATTTATCGGAAAACTAGGTCAGTACATAAGCATTCTCCACCTGTTCTATTGCTCGTTTACCTCCAGTGAGATAAATCCATCACCAAATGGACTGGTGTTTCAAACGCATTGTTAAATTTCTTTGTTAACCTTTCATTGAGGGTTTCATATCAGGTGGCCTCAGCTTCAGTTCCGTTTGAGCCGTCATTTTCCAAAGAGTGGCGTATGAGGATAAAGCGACTAATCCGACCAGATTGCTTGTTTGCAACTTTTCTCAGCTGTGATCAAATTCAGTCGTCATCTTGCTTCCACAAGTTCAGTTTTCCCCCTCCTAGTTTATCTATTCACGAATAAGTTCCGTTGACTGTGCAACAAATCCGGTTTATGTTCACTGCGAAGTACTTGCACAAGTTGAGAACTGAGAAATCGGATTCACTTACCTCCCGTATGAACTACCTCTTGGCTTAAGATTGATCCCACAACTGCTGAACGTTTCGTCCGGTTTCTGCATGAGGACATTACAAGATGCTTATAGTTAGCGAGCTGCACTCGTCCAAATCAACTTTAGGAGGTCAATCTTTTATTCAGAGTGTCAGATCCGAACGACGTTCGGAGAGTGTCGAAAAATCAATGCGCCATGTGACATGCTTTATGTAAGTTGTAATTTTAAAAACAGCGATGTCGGTACGGGTGAAAATAAGCCGTCATTTCGGTTACCGTGGCTAACCTTTATTTAGGTAATTTTACGATCGAATGAGTCAGGAACCGTTTGCTACTAAATTCTCACGTACTGTGTGCATGTGTGTGTGTGTGTGTGTGCGTTTGCATGTAAGCTTTTGTCCGTGTCCATGTGAACGTCACCGATCGGGATCGGGCGTTGTGCACATCCGTTTGTGCAATAATTGTCTGTGGGATCGGGGTCATCTGAGGTTAAATCTGCGTTAGGGCGAGTGCTGGAAAGTGACGTTAATGCTGTCCAGATGCTCGAAACCCCTGCCCCGTCGTCTCGGTTTACATACCCAGGATGGGTACTTATTGCCGAAGCCTCGGCGTAAAGGCACTCGGTGTTTGTTTGAAAATCTCGATGGAGAATTTTCGTATTTTCATAGTCGATACGATGTCCCTCGGTAATCGCACTGGAAATTTTAACATGGCGCTTAAGGTCGGGCAAATTCACACACAAGAACTAAGAATAGCAGTGCTAGATGATATTCGGAATAAATACGCCTCAACCATAGTTGTCGATAGCCTACCTACGTGTGACATTTGTAACTGAAATGTATTTCAAAAATGAGAGAAAGAGACGTTGCTCGAATTCAAGCAATACTTGTATATTCGTATTTAAACGAATCCTCGTGGATCCTTGTGACGTTAATTCATTTTGCCGCATCTCCATCGGGAGCGAGTTCCGTAGAATTGAATTCTTCTAGCTCATCTTAAAGAACCGGCTCACAGACTCAAACGATGCAGTTTGAACATCACAATTGGTCCACCCACCCCACCCCTTACTTATATAGTTATACATATATATTTATTTATTTATATCAGTAAAATGCATATTGGTTGAGCGCGAAAAGAAGACCAACTTGTGCCGTGGAATTTTACGGAAGGAAAACGCGACAGAACAAATAAGTTGACAAAAATGAGATAAGGTCAATTTTGATGTTTCGGTTTAATTCCCTCAGAACTTCTGACTGTTTTGTCTACAACACAGATTTTATGGTCCTTTTTTTGGGAGTGAACTAATCGAAATGCAATTGAGTTGAGTAATAACTAAATTGTTATGTTTTGCTTAAATTGGTCAGTATATACTAGAGGGATGAAGACTTTGGTATTTAATTTTCACACGACCTATCATTTGTTGATTAAATTCTTTTCCTGTCATTCAGCAACATCATCTAGTATCAGTCAAATAAAACTCTTATGAATTTTGTGCTCAATGAACTAGTTTTTGATTCCACCATACTTTGTCATGAATAATTCTCGGCCAAAAATGGGGATGATTTGAAAACAAAATTCAACCCGTTATGGACCATCCAACGAATACTAGATGGGGACATTTTCAACGGTCTATACATTGTTTCTAGTACAACTTTTTGTCCCTCCATATTAGTGTGATTTATACGTATTGATCAATCGTATTTCGATAATTGAGCATCAATTTGCAAACAGGAATCGTACATATCCATCCTCATTTTCCGGAAATTCTGTTTGTCTACAAAACAGCCTTCGGGAAAGTGCTTAGGTTCTCCAAAACTACTGGCAAGAGACTCCCTATTGCAGAAGTTGCATTACGACATCTTGTATCCTCTGAACCAACTGATCCTTCTATTCAAAGAGTCAAATACTGTGACGAAGACAATCAAATTTAATGTTCTACAAACATTCGTTTTTTTTCAGTCGAGCCGAACCCCAGCGATAGATTTCAAGTTGACGCCCCAGCCACGGAACGCGTGATCAAACAGAACAAATGTGAGTGTCATTTCGACTGTCCATGCTTCTTTTTGTGTTCAATCCCTAATGCATTCCAACCGGGTTTCGTCACATACCACCACCACCAAAAACAACAGCAACAACAAAAACAAAAACAGCATAGATAAAGCGGGGCACATTTGACCGTGCCATTTTCCGATTCGGTCGATGTGCACCGCCGGTCGGGGACTTGGGTTGCACTGGCAAGTTTCAATTTTGCCGTAGCTTTCTTTGTCCGACTGTGTTAGGTTATCTATGCGTAACCGTTGGCAATAAACATTTTAGCAACGAAATGAAAAATTTGACAGTTGGGTTTTTGTATAAAACTTGGATTCCTAGAACCAAATATATATATATATATATTTATAAATCGATCCGCAGTTGCAGAATAGTTGCGGAAAGTGGTTTGCATTTTTCTCACGATCTGAATGGGTGGGCGGTAGCCGGGTGCATGGGATCAAAATGCCTATGGAAACAAATTATTCTGACGGAGGCGGGTGAGGGGGGAAGTTGACGTTTGTGTAGGTCGTTTTGACCAAGCAAATTTAATATTCATGCCTTGTACTTTTTTGTGCGTTTGTCAGTCAAATCAAAATCATTGTATGAAAAGCAGCAAGGAAGTAAAAGTAATTCTGCAGAATAAAAATCGAAAAATAAATAATTATTTTCACTTTTTACACAAGTGCAATAATCTCCGATTTGTGTAAATTAGGGTCACAGGCAAATTGAAAATACTAACAAAGTTCTTCAGAAGATGAATAAATCAATATATGTATTCCCGTAGGTATCTTCTTTTGAAAACTACGGAGTCTGACTTGATCTATTAAATTTTTTAATTTGGTCTAGAAAGTGCCCTGGACAATCGCGTTATGCGTCAGCATAGCAATTGAAAAGTCTACTTAAAAACTCCAGTCTTCATGCAGAGCAAACCATCAGTAAGAACATTTATTATCCCACCGCTAAACTTATTAACACAACGATGATAACTATTTTCACTTTGGAAAGTAATCAGCGATTATCTATTCGCAAATGTCTAGATAGGTAACAATGAAAGGATATCAAATCTATCGGTTAACTATTTATGCAACATGCCCTTTAAGGATATTCTTACAAAAAGAACTGAACAACATAATAATATATTGATTCTGGTCATATGAAAGTATCGGTGACATTGAATATACCAAAAGAAAAAAATGTATGCCCTTTGTCGCTTACAAATAATAGCAACCAACTTGTTACCCTATTTTCTGAGAGAGAAACGAACTCGCTCCTCAAAAACAAACAAAGCAAAAGCTAGACACGTTCATTGAATGCCATCCGTGATCCTAGATTGGCCGAACTTCCGTACCAACCACAACAATTTCATTTATACTGACCAGCTTTTGTGACCATTTCATTCCGAAGCATTCTCAAATCGACCCCAGAGTGCGGCACGTATTCACGAGGTAGAGACCTACGTCCCAGGTCGTTCAGAATGCTAGGCCTGAACCGAAAAAGCCATTCTTCATGGTCTGTTGGATGCAAACTATCCCGTGTAAATAGAATCGGCGTTTAGATTGATGCCTTGCGGTACCAACCTTTATCTATGCTAGTGAATCACGGCTGCACAAAGTAGTCTCAAATGCAGCAACGGAATTTCCGTCTCCCGAGCAGACGGTGTTTAATAATTGTAGTGAATTTTGAAGAATAAAGAGCAAATGGAACGTGTGCTTAACGATGTATTCAAACTCTGCATAGTTGATAAAATCACCTGAATGGATCTCATCTGAAGCTCTACCCCGCCTACACAACCGAGGATTGAACTCATGAACTCATTAGTAGGAGAACCGCAGTTACTTTAGATATATATACCCCAAATATGTATCATCAGTTTCAGAAGAATTATAACGGAGTCACAAACCTACAGCCGATTGGTGAATTTGGCGATACCTTATCCGGTAGAAGCTTGCATTGCTGGTTTGTGGTATGTCGCGTACGGATAAATGGACATAGTCTTAGATCAGCTATCCGGTGTTCGCGTAAGTAGGACGGATTCACTCTACCTCACTTCGGTCGGTGAATTGCCCCTGCTGATTGATGAGAGCGCCAGGTCGGAGCAATTATTTATTTGTTATTCTTTCCTGGCTTCGCAGTTAACGATACATTTGCTCTTTGTATACGGAAAAATTCATCGTGTGACAAAATAAATTCATCTCGTGTGATTAAAACCCCAGTAGTTCAAGTTCGATTCCTCTCCTAGCCTTGAGAATATTCGTTCTAAATATTATGATGGGTATTTTTCGGGAATTCATATTTAAAAATATATATGTATTAAACTGATTGTTTGCCTGAATTCAGCCATAAAATGCAAGTTCACATTTTGTTTCTTGTGCAACGGCCCACATTTAACATCAGTTGCAAACATCATTCGATTATTTTAACCGAGCATTTTAGGTCGTTTTATGTTAGTTTTTTTTCTAAATCTAGTATCTTGCTTGATTCACTCTTACCTTGGCAAAACTTTGCCAGACAATTCCACTAAATTGGGCAAACTTGGGGATATATTCCTCTGATTAATTGTGTGACGAAAGAGGTAAATGTACCGGCAAAATATTATTCATACAGTTTTATGATGTATGAAATCCCCTCGGTTCAGATCTCAGTTCTTAACTTGATAGTGGACACCGTAGACAGAAGAAAGATAAATTGATTGGTACGAAGTTCGGTTTGAGCTTAGCTGTGTGATCTCAGAAAATAAGTTGCCCAAACAATCTCATTATGCCTACACGAGGTTGAGTAAGTAAAGTACTCGAAATAATCCGCCTTGTATACCCACTAAAAGTACAGCGATTCGTACAATCAGTCTAATACTCGTGATGTGCTCATTGTTCTGTTTTTCTCCGTCCCCCCCCCCCGTCTCCACACTCCTCTATATACATATATATATATTATTAAGCTTTCTAGATGACCGACATATCAAAGATAAAAGAGGATTTATTATTCTGTTTAAGTAAATAAAGTAAATAATAATTTTCTCCTATTGGTCATTGGTCAACGGAGATTGTTCTTTTCGCACCGCAATATTTCCTCTCGCCACACGCATTATTATTTCCAACTGATGTTGTTCCATATCAGCAATCGTCGTGACCGGGCCGAAAATTGTCTTCTACGGCACTCCGCTCGAGTTAATTTGCCGTGCCAGTTTTGCCTCGTCCGAAGCAAAACTGAACCCAAAGATTTCTTTAGAATGGTATCACCGCGGTGTACGTAGACGACCACATCCGACACGCTCCGGTGGCGTTTACATATCAGAACGCTGGTTAGATTCCAACCTGTTGGAAAGTCGTCTACTGGTTGCTTGGGCCAGTGAAGCTGATGCGGGTCAATGGATCTGTCTGGATCGATCTAACTTTCCAAATACTGTTGGTGTTGCGAGAACGGGGCCTGAGAATCAGTATTTGCAGTACCCACACCTGAAATCGACCCCGAATGAAAGTACCAACAGTTTACATCTTTCGGCAAAGACGTATAATGTCGGCGTGAAGCAACCTGGAAGCAACAGCGACAAGCCAATGTATCCGTTCGTCCCTACCGCTATCCAACAACCTTACGATCAGGATATCACGTTTGACAGGATAGAAGTTGAAATTGTCGGTGAGTATCAGTTTGCACACAAGTGAATACAATTTACAACAAGCATGGTATGTGTGTGTGTAGGAACTGCTTACGTGACTCCAGTTTTTGCATTAAACGGTGTACAGTTTCATTGAACAGTCTATTAGGTTACAAAGATTTAATAGTAGTATGGTAACCGGGATGATTCATTTCAACCTCTCATCGTGCTTGAACACATGAATGAATTTCGAATTTTGATTGTATTTAGGTAAAAATATCAAGCACACCTGTCTCCAATTCACATTCGGGCAAACTGGAAAGTGTCTTTAGGTTCACAGTGCAGTCAATGTGGACATATCCCGGATATGATTTTATATTCGTTTGATTGTTTTGGTATGCAAACACACAGAGCAATATAGATACAGTTTACTCCTTTGAGATCCTCATCATGACTGTGTACACAATCTCTACGGTGAATGGTGTAAAGGTTTAACTTCGAGTTACACTTTCGCTCACAATGATTTGAACTAAACTAATAGCCCTGTAGTTTCAATTTCAACCGCATAGACCTGGGGTCAGCATTTTGACCCCTCTCCGGTATGTGAGTTAGTCAAGTCTCGATTGGGACACAGATCAGTGACAATACTGTTGTTAACTTCCAACAAGTTCGACAGGATTGTTCCGTTGTCTTTTTTCTCTCCTATAAATTGACAACTAACCACGGATATAATTCAGGATGATTTGAAGTTCCGACGGGCGATATTCTAACGACCATTTATACGTGAATTGGAATGAAGGAAACGAAAATTGAGCAAATGTGAAGTCTTACGCTGCACTTCACGCAAACTAACTCATCCTGGTGATATCAATCGGCCGTGTTTATTCGCTCACAGTATTCCTCTTGCAATTTGAGCCTGAGTGAGAGTTAACTGAGATACATAAAAATTGAGCAAACAACGACACATGATGATCATGCCTAAATGCTGGTTGCACTTCTGTGTCCCCGTTCTGTTCAATGTTAAGAAAATTTATCCTCCATCAATATGAATGTGAGTGGCGCTTGATAACGCAAGTTTTCATCCGGGGTAGACAATAATCTCTCGTCATTTATCATTCCCAACGTAACAAATAAACTCAGAAACGTTACGCTCACTTATCTATAATATGTGAATTAGGTGATAATTTTGGAACAGAAATCGTTGTGTAATATCGAGGATGTGTGAAGCACAGCTTATTACGTGCTTTTTCAATGATCTGCACAGTCTGTGATGTTGGAAGACGAATTGTGGGTCCATTTATCATTTCTCCGGTAGATAATTACTTGGGTTACTTAAGTTTGCCTTTAATCAAACTAAACAGCATACTTCAACATTAGTGGCGCTGTGTATATTTTCTAAGGCGCTCATCTACATGAGGGATTTTGATTTTTTTTATCTGATTCCGTTCTGTGAGCGGCGTCAGTGAAAAGGGCATTTTTTGTTCCTCGTTATTGTCTAATCAAGAATATGATAGATATTTGCATTTTCAAAGCATAACTCATTTACGAAGCAAACCAGCAATTTTCAGCCTATACAAAAGGGTAATACTAACTGTAAAAGTCATTCATTGATGGGGAGCGCAGCTAATTCCGATAGCTATTACCAAGTTCAACGGGTCTTGTAATATCTTCTAAACTGGATCTAATTTACCGTCATACCGAATACCTTGTTAGACCTTGGCGTAAAGCAATCTACGAGAGGCGTTCACCGTTGAAATGGTTACCAAAAGACGCTTGATTTCTTTATTAGAATGCATATTCAAAAAGTAATCATTTATTTTAAACGGAAAATATGATCCATTAGATGCTTTTATTTCATTTTGAACACGGTGTCTATTGTTTTAGTAACTGTTGTTGCCCCCCCCCCCCCCCCCCCCNCCCCGCCTCCGCGACCGGTAGAACAAGTCTTTGATCTAACACATTTCTAAACCAACACTTGTCGTGCTAAATCACAAACACGTCTTGATGTTCCGATTTCTGAATGCCTAACATTTCGTGAGCGTTGCAAATACAACAGTGGTAGTCCTCAGTATCTAGTCCTCTAGTCCTTTGTTCTTCGGATATTATCCCGTGAGATAGCATTTGAATGCTTCTCAGCTTCTTCGTTTGTATCTGTCTTCGATGTGGCTCATTATCCTATAACTGTGCAAGCCAGACTAGTCTATATTCTAATCTTAAAGTTCAGTGTTTGGTTTATTTGGCATAGAGATGAACGAGGATTAAACAGACATCACATAACACAATTGGGGAATCTAAGAACAGTTCTTTGTTGGTTATCACAAGCTCGGTCAACTTAGTTTCCGCGTTCATTGTGAGCATGTTCAAACAAAATGCACAGTGGTGTGCATATTTACCGAAACTTAAGGGAGAGGTTGCTTTATATTATCGTACAATTATGTTCATCCGTGTATACATGATTTTTCTAATGTTTTAATTTTGTTCTGGTTCCCTGGGCTCGCTAGAGTGTCGCTTTTGAGAACCACTACTGAACGGATTCTGGCGTAAAATAAAAATTTTCAATTTTACACATGATATCACCAAAGATTTGTGTGATCATACGGTCAGATAAAACAAGTGGTATTGAAATTCCTAATTAGAATCTCATAGTTATGAGATACGAAGCCCAAGGGAAAACAATTCTTACGACGTTTTTATTGTAATGTTTATTTGTGTGAAGTGGAATGGGCCGGAATACCGTTGCGACGATCAGGGAATCAAGAGGTGATTTCTCAACAATGCTATCAGATCTATATCACAAGAATGTATCGGGTGCACTAGTGTGGATGTGTTATGTGAATCGCTGACTGTGCAGAGCATGAACCATCAGATATTTCCTCGAACAACGTTTGCAGTTTCAACACCTCATCTGAATGGCCTCAGCTATGACGCGGGTAATTTTTCCGTTAATGCTTTCAAAGGTTCCGTGTCTTTCATTTATTCAATTTCATCGTCTTCTGTCGTGGAATAGTTGATCATATAATACTCGTGCATGGTCGTGTTCGTAGTGGTTTAAAATGAAAGAGAAAACGGCTATCATGTAAAACAGGAGAATATGTGAGGAATTCGGTCTGTTCATTGAATGTGAGAAACATATATTTTACAAGCAGACCAAATATGTTTCTTTACGGTTCGCGGTTAAAGATTGCGACCAAATATTTTGCAACTGTATTGTTGTCACTAGTGCACTACATGGAAATTTTCAGAACTAAGCAGCTCCCGAATCCACGAAGGAACTCAGTCGTGAGAGGTGGTTGTTAAACCCAGCCATACCGCTATCCGGGTTAGTTCTCAGCAGTTTGTTGCACATTCGCGCTACATGTATGTAGCTCTCATTTCTTACTGTCATTGAAGGAAGTGTGCTTTGTTAGCAGAAAATGATTGGCTCCGTTACACACGACTCATTGTTAGGGTCTCGTCACAAATGAGCCGGAAATCTGTAACTCTTCTGTGCATGACATTCTATTTATATGCAACGATTTTGAATAAAGCTTTAAAGCTTTCAGTAACGCTGGACAAATACATTGTGATAGACTCTTTGTTGGGATGTACCTGTGATCCACTCAGCATCGCTCGTACGATGAGATAGTTATCTATCAACTGAAAAGTAAAACACTCGCAATGCCTAAGCCACCACGATCGTTCCGAGTCAATCTCTATTGTGTTCACCCTCATTTGGTAGGCAGTGCCACTAGTGTACGCCAAGTGAGATAGTCAATACTACTTACCAAGCTCCTTGGAACTGGTTTTCACGAACTAGATAGACGCTACCTGCCTAACCCCAAACTGAATTCTCCGACTCATTTAAACAAAATTCTTCAGTTACCCCGTTTTCTGGAAATCATACTCAGTATATAAACCCAATAACACAGCAATCTGGGAACAGAAATAGACCACCAAAACGATGTCAACATGATTCCCTGAAAATTCGATTTGATGTTTGTGCATATAACATACATTCTTCCAGCGAATTCATTGTGTTTCGACTGAAAAAGTGAATGCCCATCAGATGGTTAGCTGTACAACAAAAGGCGATTTGGTAGGTCAATGAAACGAAACGCCTCCGTATTTTGCACAGATCATGACTCTGACACTCGTATGTTGTCAGTGTTTTGCGTTGTTTTGGTCCCCTATTTACTCACAGCTCAGTTCTACGTTGTACCACTCATGTATTTTATGAGACACTGATATCATGAATTACAACAGATATGCCAAACTGCTAACAGTTCCCACATTCATGTGAAATCGTGTTAGATCTTCCTGATCCGACTGCGGAACCGTTTATTCCGGAGACAGGTAAGAGATGCGGCTCAACGTCTTGTGCGCATGTACGTTTACATCCCTGCTATGCCATAATGATTCCCCCACCCACCAACCCACCCACCCACACCACCGGATTCGTGATCGCTTCCAGTGGTTGCCAGACATCACACAATGCGAATAGACCCCAGGGGAAGATAAAAGTGCATGTGTTTTTTGTACTTACCGTTCCGTGTGCCATATCTGTTTATTTTATGGGGTAAAAAGAATGCAAGCAATGTGCTGGGCTATAAAATTGGCCAATTGTGCAGCATGGATCGAATTCCTCTCTCCTCCCCTCCCCCCGTTCGTCCACTCAAACCACAAAAAAAGGGGGTTGTGATAATGGTGCCCTAAATCATTGCATGGACTGACCAATAAGATGCGGGGATTTCTGCTTCATGTTACCACACAATTTGATTGAATGCGAAAATATGAACCCATTCACATTTTAATCGGATGCATCTCGCCTGTTATCCCCTCCGAGTTGTATTGCTTTGCGGTATGCGGTGCAATAAATTTCTTTCACCGTTTCTGGGTGATTCTACCTCAAAACTGTATGTTGAAAAAAAAAACATTTTTCTTCAATTGAAATTTATGATTATCGGAGGAGAATTTTTATTGGTTCTTTCTAGTTTGTGTGTTTCACACAAAAAATGGCCTCATTTTGATTGCAATGTGTGTAGTACAGGGTATGAATGAAGTTCGGGGTTGTGATAGAATCTAATTATA